TCAGGAAAACGTGGTGCTATAATTAAATTCAATCGGATTCAATTTCGGTCGATGTGCGCAAGGTCGTGAATACGCATATGGAAAAGCTCGTGTCGATTCTGCAAAAAGTAACAGTGACAATAATTAAAGAACTTGGTGTACTAGCGCAAGGCACTGCGTCATGCGAAGCGGGCGCTGATAGATATGGAAGCAAAAAAAATTGAAGAAACAAATATGTGGCGGCCTATGCACAAAAAGTGATAGACAGTGTGCTGATCAACTTTGATGTACCGCTGACGCTGTTTTGGACGCACTTGTTGTTGCATCTACTGTGGCAATTATTCACGACGACTTGTGTGAAACGGCTAGTGTCAGTGCTGGCCCTGATGCACCTTCAAATAGGTTTTAAAAGAGGCGCATGACAGATAGGCTCATTAATGATTCGGCTGGCTCATTGCTTTCGGTAGAGGGTCAAAAGAAATCATAGCTCAGATTTTTGTTGTTGTATTGTCAAATTACCAGTTTTTATCCTGAGGGTGATTTTTGGAGACCCTCTAACCAGAAGAAACCTCGTCGCGATAGCTCCATGTTACAATTACGATACTGTTCGCCACGCTGCGTTTGATGTCCGGGTATTAAATGGAATATGGCAAGGTGGGTATATTCTAGTACGTATCAATATCGATTGATATGGCGAAAAGAATCCAATCTTTTGGGCTCACGATGACATCCGGATTTGCGTTCGCCCGGACATTTAAAAGTCGCACTCGCCACGTTGAGGTGTCTTTTGGAATTTGTGGGAGAGCGCGCGCTAGCAAACTCAAAGTTAATTGTTGATTCGGTCACATCGAGCGCACTCACTTCCATTAAGGGCAATCCATTAAAGTTGTCGAACGGAGATTCGTGCGGACCAAAGTTGGGGGAAGCTCCGACTTGTCTCCGAGTGTCGCGTGGTACATTAAGACCGCTCGACGAAGATCTCGTGTACGAAAATCGGCATTTAGTCGTGCTCGTAGCAACTTACTTGCTAAAATGCAGATGTGTACGCATCAAGCGTGTAGTCGTCGACATGTATTCTAACCACGTTATTTTCGCACTGTAATCACCCCAGTCGTACTTGCTGCCCACCTCTTGGACCCAAGTAATATATTTCGTATCGTTGCTGCTCATCTCTACGAGCAGGTCACTACTGCTGATGCCGTGCAGAGTTCTTTGAGAAGCATCGGTGGATTGGTTCTATGTGTACAAAGTGGTGGTGAAGGATGGTGCTGCAGCTTAGTCCCAGCACATACTGTAGCGGTCCTCACCTTTGTGATGACTTTATATTGAGATAAGCTCTGACTGGACTAGAAGTCGGACGGATGCAAGCGCTGAATTTTGCAATTGTTGTGCGAACGATCGTTGCCGCATTATTGGTGCTGGTGCTAGGATCTCAAACACAGCTCTATATCCTTTTGACCTTGCATAAAAGCCCAGACTTAAAGTGTGGTAAACTCGTCGTTATACGGACATGTGTAATGTACTCACCATGCGATGCCACAAAAGATTATCACGGTGCATGGGATGTAAAAAGATAATTAACAGTTAGTTCAATCGGTTGTCATGGAGTCAGCCTGCACCCGATGTCGCACGCCAATCGGCATCACAAATTCAACGGGGTAGCCTATTACATGATATTTTTTACACCAAACGGTGTCAATAGCGAGAGGTCTAGTGTGACAATACCCTACAAATATTACCCGAGACAGGTAAAATTGAAGGTTAATTTCTTGGGATGATATTCACGTTGCTGCTCATAGATTGTTGATAAAAAGCATATCAACCAATATTACCATAAATCGCTGCTAGACGCGCGTAGTGGGTGGTGAGCAGGTTGTCGTCATACGACAATGTAGATAATGTAGTTAGATAAAGACTGAAATCATATTGATAGCTTAATTATAATAATCACATTTCTTTTTTTTATCTTTACTTAAACTAGTATTCTAAGTAAATTTACCTTCCTCTGCACGTACGAGTATACGTGAAGTTTCGTGGCTCCCAAGCTAAGGGTGCCCCGTTACATTGTAAATTCATGAGTTGAAGGAGGACAGTCAATACTGAAGAAGTGGATAGCAGTATCGATATGATGTCTTGCAACAATGCGTACTCGATTGTCCATGGCTTGCGATATTGAAAAGTCTACTATACGTCAACGCTTTGCAATTGAGCGCTCGACGCATTTAATCGTCTGTCAGGTAACTTTTGGTCATCGGTTTTGCAGAAGATATCACACCATGCATCGATAAAGTAACTACTATGCATGTTTTCATTTGCAATGAACATTTTCGACTAATCCTTTCGACCAGGCATCTGTTAAATATCAGAAGTCCCATTGGACCATAAAGTTGAGTGCATGAGTGCATTTAGCCAAGTTCATGGCATGCCATGCTCGCATAAAATGCAATCGATTCGTAACGATGACCGTGTATCGCATGCTAATGATTTTGACGCGCAGTGGCATCTTGCCCGTGCGCAGCCACCCTATCTTCCGGTAATGTCGAATTTTTATGAGAGCGATAGGTGCTTACGAAAAAGGCCTTCGAATTTGGTGCTTTCAGACCAAATTATACTTCATGAAGAAATTGAAAATTTGACCGAGAGCCAAAATACCATTAGAAACCTGTTTCTATTGCCACCAGAGGCAGACCCGTCGGATCATGTGGCTCAACTACGATATATACGTTAGCAGTTGAAAACGCTGAACTTCAAGGTGAGAGAGAATTAAATCTCAGCACTGTGGACTTGTCACCAAATAGGACACAATCGGCGTACATGCCCGAATTCATGCAATACATGATCTGCGCAACTTCATCTCACTCGTTTTAATTTTCATTTATCCAACACCTTCTAATTTCTCTTCCTCGCCTGATTTTTTGTACGTACTGAAGTCAGTGCAACGAATACGTGCTCTGTACGGACTTATCTGTACTCTATGCGTCTTATCTAGTCGTAATATGGGACTATGGGCGGCACAATACCTGTAGAACAAGAAATTGGAAATCTAATGTAGGCGTTATGATCGAGCTCTTCGTTGTCGTTTAAATTAAACAAAACAGACGCGTCTCTAGGTGATGTGAGGTCAGTGCAAATGGCATTGTTAGTGCAATAGCAAATGGGATTTCTCGCTACAAAATAGTTGCGTAGATTTCTGTCGTACTTGCAAGCACCCGTTGGAGTATTAAATACGATGGTTTGAGAATATTTTAAGCCATAAACAAATGTTGAACGCGGACACAGCACAAATGGTAGCAAGTAAGTTTATAGTCATAGTTGTGCTAAAGTCATATCAGCATCTCCGTTTCATTCTTGGTATGTGCACAAGCGAAAACCTTTAATTAAGAACTGACAAACTAGTAGCTTCGTCTTAATGCGGCACTCGTACCACACCTTCGATAAATGTGCTGTTCAGCTCGTTGTCACCTTCGTCTGACGTGTTCAGACCAACAATGCACAACAATAGTGAGCAAGCGTTCAATAAACTCAAAACGTTCCAGACGCACCTATGTCATGTCTCTGGTACGCTTTCTCGAGTTCCTTCCATCGATTATGGCGATCTTGAGCAAAATCTCGGCCGCGAGAGACTTCCAAAAGATGGCTTCTTGACAATCTTGTTCAGCATAACCGCTTACTGGTTATCATCGTGATCAATCGAATAGTCTTCTCGATTTCTTGTGCAATTTCAGCCTAAAACGTAGGTGCTTAAAATGGCTGTATTAGTGCATTTCTCATCTCCTTTGCAAATTAAGGTAACTCGCAATAATACTTTCCTATTTTAAATGCCCTGCAGTCAAATATTTTGCAAATAAAATTGCTCCACCTCCTGCGGTTCATGCAACGAATAGATACACTCTCACTGTTTACTTTGTGTAAGTTGCCCACCCCATTAATACCTGACATCATGATGACATTATCTTGTCCTGAAGATCCCTTTTCTTGCTGAGCAAAGAATCTTCCAAATCGAGTCGATTGCCGACATCCTTGGTTCGCGCCAGCAGTGCTTACATCTTGGCGAGTTCATCTGCATTTCTTGCCATACTAGTACATGATAAAGTATAATTTTGCTGGAGCGGAAGTTAAAATTTAGTCAAATCAGGAAAAATTGAGTTATCAATACATTCCATCAAATGCGACAATATGCCCTGTGTCATGTGATTAAGCTCGATAGTTTTTTGAGTTGCTGAAACGCAACCGGTATGCGATTTGTGAGTACCGGGATGAAGGGGGATAGTAAAAAGTGGGTGAGTATATTTAACTAACTATTTTCCATACAATTGTTTACATGAGGTCTAGTTTGGCATTGGTCCCGAGCTCGGCACCGACTTTTCCATCTCATCAGATAAGGTTACTGCTGAGTGGAGAATAGATCCGTGTAGATAATGTTTGCCAGCGTGAACTCATTCAGCAGAGCAGTTGATGTGATAATAGTAGTAACAACTACTCAATGCTGCGATACGCTGCACTTAAACACGTTTTGCATTATGTAACCTGCCTCATTCCAGCAACTTCAACTCGCGTACAGCGTCCGTAACCCCACTATTGAATCCCTTTCTGTAGCACACAAAGCCGGACAGCCGTGATCGGACCAGCACGATGTGCACGCATCCAATCAAGTCACAACAACCTCTTCTTCGCCTGATTATCTACCCCCTAATAGTCATAACTGCCCTTTTCCATCACAATTGAGAAGACAAGCTGTCCTTTCGCGGGGTAGGGCTCACTCCGAATTTTCTCGCTCTATGCAGGAAACGAACGACTCCACTGACGAGGCCGAAGGACCGTCCGCAACAACTACACACAACCACTTCTATACACATCCAATAAACTGTACTCTGTACACATCCAATAAACTGTGCTCTGTACACACCCAATCGACTGTACTCTATACACATCCAATAGACTGAACTACAATACGGACGAACGCCTCCATCCGCCAACGCCTCGGACCTCTGTTCTTCCTCGCGTCACTCTTACGAGCACTGATGAAGACGTTGCTGGGTCTGATATGTACGACCAGTCTTGCGGTATCAACGCACGCAGCAGCAAGTTGCTCGGAATGCAACGGTCAGACGTGTATACTTGACGGCACGTCGACGATTTTAACCGGTGGCGCGACTTCGCTCGTCGTACAATTTTGCAATTACGATCGTACAACCGAACAAGGTTCTTCGTACGCACTGCGTCTGGGGGCGTCCTCGCTTCCTGGCTGTGATACCAGCAACGCGACACTTCCTACAGTCGCGTCGCTCGTTGCAGCCGACGGATGTACGCTGGACAATTGTGCCGTCACGATTCACTTTGCATCGGCTTTGGATTGGGCAATTGTACGACCACAAGTGGACGGCCAACGGAACACATTAACAGCTCAGTTACTCACTGGAGGCAATACGAACGTCGTGACAATCGCGACGCTCGACTCACTGGCGCCTGCTGTCGTCAATGGCGGCGCCACGGGTGTTTCTGTGTGTGCACGAGCGCTGGCAGTCAGTGGCTCGAGGTTCTCGAGTGTCGAGCATTGTAACGTCGTACAGATTTGCAGGGGGCCGAGCGGTAGTGCAATTTGTACGACCGGTTGGAGACATACGGATGCGCGGGTCCAAGACGTTCAGTGCAGTGGTGAAGCTTGTACAGGCAAAGTCAAGTGGACTCAGCCCTTGCCCTGTGACGGCAGTGTCGGAGACGCTACGTCGCTGATTCTCAGTGTGACTGTCGCCAGTACGAGCATTGAGGCCTCGCCCCTTGCTAATGTTGGCTACATGGTTGCTCCGACGTTCAACATCTCGGCAGTCAGTGGCTTGGACGTGGGGAGCGCTGACGTGGTGTTGAAGACCGACACGTTTTGTGATGACGCGAGTCTCTCGCTCAATGTGTCAATGGAAAATGCTAGTGATGACGTCGTTTCGAGTGACGCGGTGATTGATGTACGCAGCGTGAACACAACGACGAATGGAACAGTGATTGTCCAACTAGCGTCGCCATTGAGCAGCGACTTGGTGAGCGACAACGTGCAGCTGTCGCTGTCGCAATGTGGCGTATCATCTTTGGGGTTGTTTCCGGTGGGAGAAAACTTGGGCGACTTTACTGCCGTGTCGACAGGCTCGACGGCCGATGCAAACGAAGGTGGAACAGGAACAGGTCCCGTTGGATCTGTTTCGACGCAGGAGATGAATGTCTCGGCTGGGCTTTCCAATAGCATTATTGTCGGTGCTGTGATCGGTGCCGTGGCTCTCGCAGGCTTCATGTTTGAATATATCTATCACAAGAGACGGCAACCGCCGGCGTTGGCGCAAGAGTCATCGATCCCAACGCCTGTGTGAAAACCGACGACTGCTTCATACAGGGAAGGGTGATACAAATTGATCGATCGGTCGGTTGTGTGTCAGCTAAGTAGGTAAGTAATAAAGATTCATGGCTTATGTTACGACGTTCTTGGTTGATGACGAACCTGTGACTGTAAATCCTTAGCAGCCAGGGGTCTGTCTAAACCAACCTTGTGGATGTGCAGTTGAACCCAGTGCGTGTTGGAAACGCTTGAAAAGCAAAGGGTCGTTCGGAACACTGACTCATCATCAGTTTGAGCTGGTAGCGATCGTACCTTTTCGATGAAAGAGTGTTCATTGTCAAATTGCTTTCAACCGATCAGGTTAGACCACGGAGCCCTCGACAAAGCTGCTGATGGATTCTAGCGTACGAGAAGTTGCTGGTCACCCCGTCAAGCACGTGAAAGGTGATTCAATGCTGCTTGCAAAACGTCGCTATTACTTGCTCTGACTGGCTTCAATCCAAGCGGTTGAATTATTCGAGTTTGACCCGAAGGATGCTGCGTAAGAGACAAACAGCAGCACTTGTCAATGACTACAAAATGGCTCGAGCTGCCGTCGATCAGAAAAGTCTGAGAAGTTCAGACGTGGCGGGAAGTCTAACAAATTGTTGTCTACCACGTCCGACGCCTTTTCAATCGATGCAAGTACGCAGCAATGTGTCAAGTTTCCACTGGATCTAGTTACAGGTTCACATACACTTCGTGCGTGGAACAAATCACCGCATGTAACATTCGAGCTGAGTCATTGCACAACAATCTCGATCGATTCTGGACTAGTTTGCGTCTTCAGCCGCAAAGAAAAATGAAGGGTGATCCAGTGGGCATCGTCAATATCGCTGCTTCTGACTCGGCTCTGCGATCACTCAGTCGCATCGTTGTGTATTCGTTAACACGAGTGATAATGTCTCTTCGTGACGGCAATTTACGTACGGCGCGAAACGTTCGTCGTTTGGTCGTGCCTTCAGGACTTCTGACCAATCATGCGCATATGACGAATCTTCAGCGATCGTGTCATGGCTAAGTCCTTCTTCAAGGCAAAGCGTTTCGCGGCTGTGACAGCAAAATCGTCCAGCTGCTGCTCTAGGTTCTGGATTTTAACGTCCAGCTCAGCCAGGACTTCGTCAGCGGCGGAAGAAACCAGTATTTCAGCTGCGGCTTCAACAGGTGCTGACGCAGTTGCCGGCTTCAACGATCGTACGCCAGTGCTTGGGGTTGCTGGGCTCAGTGGTCGAGGCGATGACGTTGACAGATCTACGCAGAGTCGCTTTGGCTTAACCGCGTTTGGTGTAGGTGCGACTACAGGTGGATCAACAACTCGTTCGTCGCCCCGGTTGACACAGTTCGGACTTTTTGCAGTACCGGCAGAGTGCTCTGGCCCCTGACTTACAGTGAGCGGTGAGGCGTCGGGAGGAAGCCGGCTACGCAGATACTTCAATACGGCTTCAGTGCCGCTGTTCAAAACGTGAGCTCGGATCCCTCGCTGCGGGTTACCAGCGAGGTAGAGGGCGCGAAGACTTTCGCAAAGTGCAAGCTCTGCCGGAATCTATTCAAACAAATGCACATACGTGGTGTTAATTATCGCAGTATCGGAAGCAACCGAGACTTCCACATACCTGACGCAACTCGTTGTTCTCCAGAGAAAGCGATGTCAATTTCGGCACTTGGTAAACGGTCCCGCACGACTCCAACTGCATGATGTCACACAAGCACGCGATTTAGCAAAATGCTGGCATCGTAGATCGTAACCTCGACACATTACGTACCCGATTGTCAGCAATGCTTAGCACAGATAGATGGCGCATTGTAGACCATGGAAACCCGTCTAACACTCGCAGACGGTTGAAAGAGAGTACGAGAGTGTCGATAGACTTCAGATGTTGCAAGTTCTGCGGGATGTCCGTCAACATGTTGTTGCGGAGGTCCAGCTCTGTAAGGGACAGGCATACACCATGAGTATCCGAGGCGAGAATAGTATTCACAGCGTCTGTCGTTAGCGAGTTTTTGCTGAGTCGCAAATGTTTCAGACTCGGCAGCATCGCGATGGAAGAGTGAACTGACTTCAATCCACATTGCACAGCAGTGAGTGTATGAAGGGATGTCAGGTCACCAATCGCTGCAGGAAGCTCCTGTAGCCAGTTCTTGGAAAGATCCAGCTGCTGTAGAGATTCATTAAATCGATACTTTCCTGCGACGTGAAGTTGCGTCGGCAGGTGCTGTAGTCGCATATCGACGAGCTGTAATTTCCCCGATGCGGCGGCTTCTCGGAATAGATACTCGTCTTCATGGGGTGCTTCTTCAGGCATGGGCTCATCCTGCTTTGCTTCCCTCTGTCTCATGGTAAACTCGTCCACCTCCTCCTCGATAGCGTCAACCCCTACCGGCGGTCCACCCCGAGTGCGCAAGTACTTCTTGAGCGGCTCAGTACCTGATGAAATGACGGACCGTCGAATCGAGCGCAGAGGGTTGCCCTCAACAAGCAGATGGTCGAGATACTTCAGGTAGCCTAGTCCTGCTGGTAAATCGTGCAAATCATTATTGCTGACATCTAGTGTCTTCAGGCGGTACAACCGAGGAATGCCATCCGACAACTGCTGCAGCTTGTTGTCACTCACATCAAGCACCGTGAGCGACTCCATCACACTCGAAACGACGTGCTCTGGAATTTCGCGCAGCATGTTAAAGCCTAGGAACAGCTGATCTAAGCACACACTGTCCTCTGGAAGCATCGGGAACACCGTCAGCTTATTCTGACGCAGATCGATGTACTTGATCGATACCAGCTTACGAAAAGCGTCATGCGTAGTAACCAAGCAGTTCTTCTTCAAATCCACCGTCTGCAAGTTCGTGAGCTCGCCAAATGATAATGGCAGCTCCGTAATCTGATTTGAGTACGCCGAGAACGATTTCAAACTTCGAAGATAACCTATTGTCGAAGGCAGCATCGTCAAATGGTTGCTCTCCACCCGTAACACCTCCAAGTGAATCAGGGCGCCAAGAGATTCAGGCAAGTGCGTCAACTTGTTCCCTTCCAGTCCTAGCTCTCTCAGCTTGTACAACTTGCCCAAGTCTTCCGGCAAACACCCGCCTAAGTCATTGCTGCTCACACGGATCAAAATGAACAAATTAGTTTTTGACCAGCTATTCTTGACACCCCTTGACAACGTCATACTTGCTGAGGTCGAGCAGCGTAAGCGTTTCCACATTCCACAACGACAATGGCACTTGACGCAAGTGATTGTGACGCATCTTGAAGTTCACGAGGTACTTAAGCGTCTCTACTTGACTCGGGATCTCTACAATGTCATTGTAGCTGTAAAAAATGCACTCGAGTCAATAACCACCTGTCAAAAATACAAAAAAAAATGCGCAAATCACCTCAGGTCCAATTTACGGAGAACAGCGCACTCCCAACTGCGTTCGTCGTCGTCCAGTTGCTCGTAGAGACGGAAGACTTCGTCAGGAAACGATACCAAGTCGCGCGAGGACAAGTTCAGACTGCCGGATTGACGTGCCATACGCAAAGTGCGAGCCATTGCAGTGCCAGGGGCAGCAGCAGAGGCAGAAGCCGCCGCCGAGCGCCTCATCGCGGCGAATTTCGACGGCATTTTTGACAGTTGCGCGATTTGTGGTTCTGATTCGATTTGGTTAGACCAAATCGGACCAAATCTTATCAGCTAGTCAGTGTTTCAGATTTGATGTTTTTAATCAGGCACAGTACTATGTCAGTACCCTCTAGCCTTTTTTTGTCTACTTCATGTAAAAGTTGGCTCCTACTATACTACATTCTAAAATACTCCTCCGTGACCCTTATTCGGTGGTATGCACTCATCCCTGAGCCCCTCAATAGTCGGTGAAGTGGAGACAACACCTGCAAGTCCTGTCTTTTTGTCGTTTTGGCCAAGTCTCGCAGGGCTAATGGGGTTCACTTACCATCAACTAAATGAATCTCGAGCTCCACCTTAGCCCAAGGAGTGTACAAAAGGTACGTCATCATTCACCTCAAAGGTGACGATCGAAACAAAACATGTTCGACCACAATCAATCAATTACCAACGCACTATCTATCGGTCTTTCCAGGCAAGTTGCGTCGTCACGTCGTAATGGCTTTAAGAAGAGTGTCAGCATAGTGCTCTTCAACGATGACCAGAGCTCGAAAACGAGGTCCGTAGGTTGAAGTACACTTGCCTTTTCTGTTTCCACCAATCAGAACCCGCTCTCTTCACCTCCTGTCCAATCGCCAGTCGTCTTCTTGAGTGGTGCGTACGTCAGGTCACAATCGAAACCTTGTCCTGCGTTGCTGTGTGCTGCATGGAAGATGAGTGCGTTCCGGTCCAAGTTTCTGTACCCTGCCAAAGTGAACTGGTTCCCAGGTCACATGGCGCTTGCTAGACGTCAAATGGTGGCTCAAATGGATACCGTCGACGTGCTGATCGAAGTGCGAGACGCTCGCATCCCCTGGAGCTCGGCCAACCCCGTGCTGGAAGAAGCTTTTGGCCAGTCGAAGCCTCGTCTGGTCGTGTTCAACAAGAGCGACCTGGCGAACTCCAATATGCAGCAACGGGTGGAAAAGCAGTGCAAGAACGAGCTAGGACTGGCCACTGACTGTCTCTTCACGTCCGTGGTCAAGGGTAAACGACTTCAGGCCATTTTGCAATGGTGCAACAAGCACAGTCAGGCCCAGTTCAAAAGTACGGCGGGGTCGATGGTTATGGTCGTGGGCATTCCTAATGTGGGCAAATCTTCGCTCATCAACGAGTTTCGACGCCTGTCAAGCTCTCACAAACTGGCAAAAGGTCGAAAGCGAGCCAATGTCGGACCGACGCCTGGTGTCACTGTCCGCAATGACATTATAAAGGTGCGGTTGAACGCTCAGGATCGATTATGTATCAACCTCGATGGCTGATGTGATTGTTTCGTGTAGGTGAATGACAAACCAGCCGTGTTTGTAGTGGACACGCCCGGTGTGATGCTGCCGAATATTTCGTCGGCAGAAACTGGATTGAGGCTAGCGCTCACAGGGGCGATCAAGGACGAAGTCGTTGGCACCGAGTTGATTGCAGACTATATGCTTTACCAGCTGAATCAAATGCAATCGACGCGATATGTGGACGCACTACAGCTTCCGAGGCCGACGGACGACATCGGGGAGCTGTTCAAGCTAGTGTATCGGCGTTGCGGTGCGTTGGGCAAAGAACCGGATGTCCAAGATCGTTTGGCTGCGCAATTCCTGCTGCACGAATTTCGCCGCGGAGCATTCGGCAACTTTACGCTGGACGCCATTGAATCGCCATCTGAAGTCGTCCAGAACGCAGCTTCGTCGTTGTAAATCGGTAAGGGCTGGTGAGAATCGCACTTCCTGTCTCGTCTCTCAGCGAATATGCACTTCTGCCCTCACTAGAGCTCAACCGATGTGTGACAAGAACAGCTTCAATCCAGGCGAGAAATCAGACAAGAGCTTCAGATGAGTTGATGAAAGTCAGTCGCGACTTCTCAATTCCAAGCACTTGCACTAATGGCAGCGTGACCATCCAGTGGACAAGTTGCTTGCAGCTACTTCGCTGTGCACTGCCAGAAGAAAGCATGTCGTGCAGTTGCCGTCGATAACCAGTCTCATTTCTCAGTCACGGCTGCACTCATTGCCAGACATCGCCTGACGAGTAAGTATGGAAATGAAAAGTGCTCTTGGAAGGTGTCGCCGAACGTTGTCAAGGAAATGGGAAGCGTGGCAACGTCAGCATATTTTGTCTAAAAACACGAAACAACTAACGCTTGTGCTTCCGTTCCGCAGCATCGTCGAACCACAGGACAAAACCGTCGTCCCCAAGGAAACTAGGGCACTCCGTGTATGCGCCTCAAGCTTACTTCTCCCGTCCTTGCGCGCAGAGAACCACCAATCTTTTCAGAGGACAAGAGGTGTATTGGCACTCGGTCGAGTCGCTTCGAATTGTGATGCGGACGGAGCAACAGTTTACATTATCACGAGTTTGGGAAAGTGCCGTAGCTAATGAGCTGACCATCCTGCCATATTGCCTAGGTCAATTCAACAATGCGGTTCATTTCACAGGCGCAGCGGTAACGGAAGTCAAAAGACCACATCGATTTCTTGGATTGGCAGAGAGTCGATGCTGTTCCGCCTACAACGGTGTGTGCCAATTCGAGAGGAACACACAACTGCAATTGTGGATATTGGATGCGGCGTCTTGGCGCGGTGCACAGATACAGCTAGCTGCCTCAAATCCATGCCAAGGTCATGAGGCTTCAGGTGGCAGAGTCGAGAAGCATTTTGGCTGATAACGACGGGGGTAGGATCGTAACGTGCCGGCACAACTCCAATATCATGTTGTTTGTACGCCATGTTCTATCCACCAATCTGCTCCACGTGACGGGTGTCGGTCAAAGGTATTTTTTCAACGTTTACCACCAGCTCCCTCGACACGCCGATTGCGCCTCACTCCAGCGTGGCAGTCAGTGTGGCGAAAAGATTGGCATAGCTGACAATTACAATGTCACGGGTCCGATACGTCCCTACCATCTCCTAGACGACACGACCGAATGCGCCAAGTCCGAAAACTTGATGCAGATGTGTGGTGGCTCGCTATGAGCGTCCACGTAACTTCTCCATTTTTCAATCATCGTGCGGACCGCTTGGCCAGGAAAAGCCGTAGCAGAAAGGTGCACCCAATGGTGTCCGGCCTTGCCGAATACAATGGCAACAACGTCTGCCACTCGAACCAAACAATGTGCTGAACCGACGAGTAGAACTATCGGCTGATCGTTATCGAAGTCATGCCGAGACCCGAGATCATGGGCGAACTTCTGGCAGTCCAGAATAATTCGTATCTCCAACAGCAGCGCTCTGTAGTCCACTGGTTACTTCGGCTCCAGTCGACAACACATCACTTCAGCCTGCCCTCTGCTCTCGTAAGGTGCATGGCTCGTACGCGTTCAAAACGGGGTGAAATAGGCTACGACTCAGACGTAGCTTTCAATTGAAAGACACGGTAGTGATGATTCAGCGAAGCGATAGTATGCAGCTTGAACGAACTCACGAGCACGCCGGTGCCAGGATTGTCGCGATCGAAAATGACACGTCGAGCGCGACTGTGTACTAACGCCATGGCGCACATAGCACACGGTTCGCAGTCAAGATACACGTCATACCCCGTGCACAAGTATGACCCACTGTGCTTCATATCATCCACGTCTTCCTGGCACCGCGCGGCTTCGTCTCTCTTTTGACTCTTTTTTTGCTTCTTTGGGTGAGCCATCGCGTTCTTCGCTGCTTCGCCTCGTCGTCGATCACGTTCGGCAACGACGTTGATTGCCACCATCACTGGGTGACACAGTGCCTCAATTTGACACTTGACCGGCACCTCGTCGCTCACGTTCGACGTCGCAACGTGCTCGTCCAAGTGCGGGTCCACTACCACGTATCCCCACGCACAAGTCAGTGCCTCGTGTCGCTTTGCCTGCAGCCTTTTTCCAGCTTCCACTGCCACCCGCAAGTGTGCCAGCATGTTCCTCTTTTCCTCCTTCTCAATAGGAGGCGACGCTGACACTTCGTCGACACTAGCGTGGAATATCAGCGGCCAGTTCTTCGAGTGTTTCTCGAACAGAGCACGACTACGTGGCGCTCTCTTCAGCACTTGTGCAGTCGTGATACGTCCTTGAAAAAGCGTCTCTAGTTGCTGCACTTCATCGGGAGCGCTTGCCCTGTCAAAGTCATCGCCTAGAGTCGAATCGAAGGGGCAAACAAGTGCCACAAGCGTTTTCAGAGCTGTCGGGTGCTTCCTCAAGCGTTTCAAGTGCGCGAACCCGAGCTCCGAAAGCGGTCGAAACGTCCTCGACAGGTGCTGCATGACCTTGGACCCGAAGTGAGCGGGAACTTCCAGCGCCACGAAGCGCTGCTGGGCTTCCACGTCCTCCAGCTCCTCATCCCTTGACGCGACAACTTCCACGAGCTCCATGACGCACTACAACGATGCAAGCGCGAAGTAACAAAACAACAAATGACAGGCGCTCGGAAGGATCAAATGGTCGTTTGAGGCGCGTCTTTGGTTCAGTAACCGAGTATTGGATGGACCACATGAGGTTTCGAGAGATGCGTTTCGTATCGATGTTTGCTTAGACAGTCTTCTAGTCTGTCGAACTCTGCTACATCTAAATCTACGATGGATTCAATGGCGTGAACCCTGGACAAGATCACGAATCTGCTGTGTCCCATTAGCTCGATCGCTGGTCTCTTACGCCAATACCAGCACCCGCTCCTGGAGATTTCTCCGTGTTGACGGCTTCGCGGCGTAGACACCGCATTTAGCCTCGACATGTTGGTGTTGGTCAGTACTTGCTGATGGGGAAGGCCCCATCAGACAGCACATAGCTCCTCTTCAACGTCAACACGGACACCTTATATACGCAACAGAGCTCTTTCGAGGTGCGTCATCAGCAACTCCGTATCCACTACAGCTGTTAACACGATCGGGCGTGGAAACCAATTCTTCATCCGCTGTGCGTTTTAACTCTGCAGACACCTTCGTCGTGCCTGAAATGCCCGATTATACTATTGATGAGCAGCGTCGACTCGCTGGTTTCAGACAGCACCTCCATTTGAGATGCGACCACGGCTTCTTCATGATACTTGCACTTGAACGCAGCCATCACCATTTTCTGAATCTCCTGCTCTCTTGATCCCAGTCAGAGCTGTGATACACATCTCGTATTTGCGATGTAAATGCGCTCGATGTAGTCGACGCTACACTCAGCAGATGTATCCGAACAAGCGCTATCAGGTCGTACATCGGTGCTGTTCCTAGTCCGCAACTCAATCGACCTGTTGTCGTGCGCTTCCTTCGACACCTCCTTCAAAAAGGTGGTGCGCTCGGGTAAGGCCACTAACCTCCAACTGCATTATGTCCACATTTGCACAGCATTGCTAGAGTCCACGACGGTTTCCTGATGCAGCGCTTTGTAGCCCCATTCGATGACCTGTTGCCGATTCAATCATCCCGCAAGTTACACAAACAGCTCGCTCTCCTCAGCTAGTCGGCCGTCTACTAGATGGTTTTCAGTGATAGCCTGCAGTTGTACAAACCCCCGACGAAAGTCGGACCTCCAAGGACTTGAGATCCCACCAGCTTCTCACTGGCCGACAGATCTCATCTTGTGTCCATTGCTGCACCAGCTTGACCAGGTTTCCGTCGCACATCGAGCTGACAAGATGTATCCACCCTTATTTTTGGCTTGTCATGGTTCTTGCTCGTTGTAGCCCTTGCTAGTAGTCCGTCGATGCCTTCAATCTACTATCAATATTGTTTAATTGGCTACCGCGAGCGTACTTCATCTGTTCCAGAGCGACCATTTCACGCCGACGTACAAGCGCTACAGCCGATATCCGGAAAGATGCTGTTCGTGTCATCTGCGATTGCCCTTCGTCATTCTCAAAGCATTCCACGCGACAGCTTTGGACTCAGGTGTCACATGCCATCTCCCTCAATTCTGAATAGCAGCCTGTTGGTACCTAGAAGTAAGAGCTGGACGACTTTGCATCACTCGAAGTTGGCTCCAATGATAGCTGCTCTACACTCGGCCTCATCGCTCTTGCTCAATCTTAAAACGCTATCAACGAACGAACGAGCACGGGCTCACTCAAACAGCCTGCCGCCAGCTGGATCGTTCATGACAATCAAGCCAACTATTCCATCCACAGGCTCAGCGTATCTATCATACCCGACATTGCTAGTCTCAACCGCTCTTGCACACCATTCATCGGTCCCAATCATCTTGTTACGCATACCATCGCCGTTGTCGTTCCAACGACGGCCATGCTACGTTTTACCTTGCAACAGTCCTGTCCACAGCAGCGCTAGAAATAGCCAAGAAATGCCAGCCCTAGCCAAGCGGTGCCAGCTAACACGTATGGATTTGTTCCTCCAAGTGATTAGAGTACCCTCCTGCTTTGTTGTAACATTCAATGGCTAGCAGCAGGTGGTGCATACCTCTTCTTCGCCCTACGGGCCGAAAAAGGTGAGCCAAAGTCGCAGCAGCGGGTGGCAGGAGTGCCCAAACCACGACAGCTCACTAGCTAAGACAACCAGCAAGCAGAAAAACAGCGTGTTCTCTATTAATAAGCTGCTCAGCGACGACTTTGCATCAGAGATGCCGCTGCTGCTGCCGCTGCATCGAAATCCGTTCATTCTTGAACTTGCCTCTCGTCCCGCTTCCCCCATCGTCTCATTAGCTGGCGCATCAAGACTGAGGCACAGACAAGCGGCCTTAGTGTGGGCTGCTTGTGCTGAAGGGACCGCATCGTAGACGTCATAATTGCCGTCTGCAAGCTGCAGTGAGTCGTGATGTCCAAGTCGATGGCGATGACGAGAAATTTCCACTCTTTCAAAAAGCCAAGGACAAGTCAATGTATTCACTTGGAATCCGATCGCGTACTGATCCCTCAAAGCACTTGGTGGCAGATCGACGACTACTTACCAGCTTTACGTTGGTCATCAGTCAATTCATGATACGGGTATAGATTATCAACTACCCGGTTATTCAGCATGGCCAAATACTTATCGGCCTTGATTCGATCGCCCACGAGAAAATATTGCTCTAACTCCTTCAGCGTAGAGGGGCTATGAACAGCAGCAAATTCCAAGGCAAAGGCTTTGTAAGCGCCATAGAGAGGATCCGTCTGCGGCAAACTGGTGGGTAAACGACCATGCGGATAAAGGTTGCGCTCCAAATCACCCGGAGTCATGCCGTACTCCACAATCAGATGATGAAAGCGGAAATTCTGCACCGATTCCGCGAGGTCTTCAAGGCCAATAATGCTCATCTCGGCAAAGAGATTTGCGTAGTACACTTCGTTCTTTTGGGGCGGAAGACTTTGAAGGAGTTTCTGCATTTCGTCGACGGAATACGGTTTGCCATCATTCTTCTCCTGGAAAAGCCCGGCGTGGTGAAGCCACAGTGTAATTTCATCTTCCTCAGTTTGACGCATGGCACGCATCTGTTCTGGAGTATGACCTTGGGTCGCCTCGGATGGGTGGTGAGACGAGCGGACATCGAACCGACGACCTGTGGTCAGCCTAAAGGGCTTTACTTGACCATAGACGGAGCGGTATAGCGAGCGGACAGCACTCAACGACTTGGCGACCATTTGCTTCATCTTCTGAAGTACGTTTCCAAGGGCAGGGCATCTCTCCTCCCCGCCGTCGTTGTCAAGCTTGCGGACGTCTACGAATGACAGGTGGGGCTTCGACAGTCCTTCAGGCGCGGTCAGGTTCGAACTGGGATCGTCGATCGGGTCGAGAGCAGCAACGCGGAGCAAGACGCCGTCCACAACACAGAAGATCAAGAAGAGAAGGCGAGGCAGACGCATACCTATCGGGAGATTGCAGAATGAGAAATGGGAAGAAGAACGAATGAGAACGCACCTGTGCTCCCTCTAAGGCTTGGTCGAGCAAAGCGGGCGCACTTCTTGCGCATAAAACAAGCGCTGCTTCCAGCTTTGTAGGACTGCCTGCTCATATCGCTTTGCACTGCAAGCAAGTGTTCACGGGATCTGGTCGGCTGCTGGGGTCACTTTTCAAGAGCATTTGGTACAAAGTACACACAAGGTAGCACCAAGCACCTGCAGCAGCACAACCAAAGGCAGAGAAGATCTGCACAAAACGACGACCGCAACGAGGTGATGTCGTGGACGCCTTTGATCAATGCTACCGAAGAATGCAGGAGGTTTGGAGCAGGACTTCCTTGGACAACCCGCCACCTTTTTCGGTGGAATGATCATCTCCAAGCACCGACCAAAAGCTGTGCAAAGAGAGGTTTCTCCGTACGTCCTCAGCTGCACATCTTCTTGATCGGCATTCAAAGCGTAGAGCTCTGAGAGGAGGTACATCCAGCGTGTGAGCTCTGCACACGACGTCTATTCAAGTGACGTCATTACTCCTTAGCGTAACATGCAGCAGCATCATGGAAAAGTCCTACTTTATCTGCACACGACTGCACGTATCCGAATGCGCGGGTCTCATCTGCTCACGGGACTGTCTAGTGTCCAGATGCTTCCGATCAGTTCAGATCCTGACAGCAGATCCGATTACTGTCGGGACCGAGTGCAATGGGTTGAACAGCCTGAGATGGCTACACGAGGGAGATGATGGAAACGTGTCAAACGATGACGCTGCTAAACCTCTTCGACGCGACGTGAGATAATTCTTCAGAGACAAACAAGACAGGGACGACAATCCAGCCCTCTCCCCCACAGCTGGCATAGTCATTTCTTGATTGTAAAGCTCACGGTCTCAACAACTGCTGCAGTTCTCTGCATGATGGATGAACAACGGCTTCAATGCGGCGTCTTGCCAAGTGAGAAGTTGGATGCAAGTAGAAGAAAGGCATGTCGCCTTCAATTATGCGACTGGAGCTAAGGTGCTGATGCCGATGGACTAAATATACGGACGTCAGCGCAACTTGGAGCGGTGCTTTTCTTCCATCGGTTCCACCTGGACAGAGTCGCATGCTGACTTCTTGCAGTGCAACACTGTCTTAGCCCCGACTCGACTTTGATGGGCCTTCATCCAGAATCGAAACCTTGCCAAGAGCAAGAGACAGTCGCTTGCAGCCGAAGACGACGCGACCCCATCAATCAAACTCGCCACTTTACAAATTCATTCCAAGCCACAGCGGCTTTGCCTATACATCGCCCTTGCTGTAACAGCTCGACTCACTATGTCCTATGTCATCGCGTGAAGCAGCGCGCTGTCCTTGACAATGCTCATCGAACGCGAGTTGGCTTCCTGAACCAACTAAAGCCCACTCTATCTACTCGTCCGACGGAACACCATCCCTAACAAATAAGGCCAGCGTCGCTGCCTCTACTTCGCACCAGGTCGGAAACGGGGAGGTCTGTAGTATACGTACACAGGCACACACCTTCACCACTCGCCTCCGGCTGCGCATGGCCCACATCGCCAACAGGGCCACCGCGATGTCTTGCTTGCTCATCTTAATAATGTCCTTCCATGCTTTCCTCCATGCCACCTTCGACAATTGGCTATCGCTCATATCGGTTGACTTGGCGTTACTTGGCGTTGACTGTACTCATAGGTGGAGTCTTCGATGAGCCACTAGTACTTGCCACGGATTTCTGCATCGATGTCTGCGAAGGCTGTGATACTTGAGATGTAGAATTTGCAGTACTCGAATGCTGCTGATTTGTGACAGCGCCGCCAGCCTGGCCGGCAGCTCCTCCTACTTTTGTCCGCTTGAATGCAGCTGCATTTGCCGCTGCTGCCATTTGCTGCTGAGATTGAGAAAGCGTCCGCTTCTGACCTGCCAAATGCGCAGTGTGATTGCTTCCACTCTTCATCGCGTCGCCTCCAGTATGGGTGGAATTCACACTTTGTATATCATCAGATCCCAGCAACGACGAAGATAAGTCCAGGTTCAGAAAGTCCGAAGATTCACCAAGACTTACGTCCCCGCTCATTCGCTGCTGATTAGCAGCACCATTCGTTGTACCATTCCGTTGAGCTTGAGCTTGCGCACGAGCTTGAGCCTGAACTTGCTGATGCTGCTGTTGCTGTTGCTGCTGCTGTTGTTGTTGTTGCTGCATATAATTCGGATTCTGCCGTTGCTGCAGTTGTTGCTGTTGCTGCATCTGCTGCATTTGACGCATTGAATTCTGGCGCTGGAGTACTTGATTCTGCTGATACTGGTGCTGCTGCTGACGCTGCATCTGGGCCTGTTGCTGCGCCTGCTGCATTTGCAGCTGCCGTCGTTGCAGTTGAGCTTCCTGAAACTGCTGCAACTGCTGCGGTGTAAGCTGTTGCCGCATCTGAGGGTTCTGCTGCATTTGCATTTGCAAGTGTTGCTGTTGCATCAATTGCTGCTGAGTCATCCGGTTGCCGTACGGCATGTTGCCTACCACGTGACCTTGAGGGCCCATACCGCCTGCTCCCAAGTTCATTGCCATCCCTGGAGCGGTCATCATCGCATTGTTACCAGCCGTGCCACCAGTTGTGACTGGTACGCTACTTGTGCCTGTAGCGCGAGGATTGCCGCCAGCCTTGTGCTGAGCGCGTGCACCCATCGTCACTGCCAAATGCTGCAGTCGGGTCTTCAAAGACGAAAAGTCCCCGTACTCATCTCGATTTTTCGCCGTACGGTACAAAGAATCCTCTAGTCTCCTTGCCATGTCCGGCAGCCGTCGAATCCACTCGGCAGGCGCATCCGGCTTCCGCTGCTGCAGCAGGCTAACGCTGCATGACATTAACAACATCGCGATAGAATATTAGACAATCTATCTTCGGTCTGCACAGCGCTCCCATGGCAAAAACGTACATTTTTCCGATCATTTTCCGCCGCAAAGGCAAATCATTCTCAGATTGCCATGCAGTCTGTGCGTCATTGCTTCCCCCAGGTGTTCGACCAGCCGCGACACGTTGTTGAGCTTGCTGCTGCGCCATTTGCGCCGCACGCATCCGTGCGGCGTTCATCATTCCAGCTTGAGGCGTACTTTGTACAGGTCCGGCCATCATCACATTCGGGTTTCCATACTGTCCATACGTTGCACTACCAGGGGCGCCTCCACGGACCATAGCTGGATTACCACGCTGCTGCATGTAAGCGTTGCCACCCATAGTCATACCTTGCTGGCCGGTGGCGCTCTGGCTCATCGAGATACGAAGCACCTCCATCGGCGGCGGAATCAAATCAACGTGTTGCATCATCATTGCTTTCACTCGTGCAAACTCCTCTTCATATGACGAAGTTGGTAAACGGTAAGCCTGACCGGGCTGACTTCCCATGTACTGACTGGCAGCAGCCGGAGGTGGAGCGGAAGCGCCACTCACGCCCCCGGCTATCTGGGCCGCGTGCATTTGCTGCTGGTACGGTTGGCCAGCAAACTGCTGAGGCTGACCACTCTGCTGGTTCATCATCATTTGATTGGCATACTGTTGCTGTCTCTGTTGCTGCTGTTGCATCTGCATCTGCTGCTGTTGCTGCTGCTGTTGTTGGTTACCAATGTGCGGTCGCGCAGACGACGTGGTGGACGGCGCGGACGTCGCCACACTGCTGCTGGCAACGCTGCTAATACTGCTGGAAGCCGAGATCGCAGTACCGCTACTAGCTACCGGTCGTGGCCCCGTCGAGGTTGCCGAGGACGATTTCGGTGTCGTCGACGACGTCGTTGATGCCAAGCTTGTAGTGTCCTCTTTCAAAGGCACTGATGTCGACGGTGTCTCGGTACCCTTCGAACTTGTCAACGACGCCGCACGATGCGTCACCGCCGACGCCGGCGCGGACGTCGGTGCGCTGCTTGCATCTGCTTTTACCTGGGCAGCGCTCGTCTCCTTCTTGACAGTCGTCTTTTTGCTCTTGCTGTCTCCAGTGGATAACAGTGCGTCGGTCGTCCCTGCGGACGAGGCGGCGGCTCGTGACGTAGCTCCCGGAGACGCGCCACTGGCTTCAAGCTCGGCGCCGAAATAGCTCGTGGCCAAGTCCGTCCCGGCGCTGGCACTTGGCGCCGACGACGACGAAGACGCCGACGCCGTCGCTATCGACGCGTTGGCAGCTCCTGCGTCGTTCTTTTGGCTCTGAGCACTGGGCGACGGTTTGGGCGAATCCCCAAAGCTGAACTCATTGTCACTCGTGCTCGACATGTTAGCGAACGGGTCGTCCCCGAGGCTCTGGACGCCCGTGGGCGTGCCCACACTGAACGGCAGCGCGCCGTTGCCGTTGCTGCCGCCATTGGGCGAGTTGCCCATGGGCGTGTTGTTCGTCCACGAGCCGAGCGAGCCCAAGTCCAGGAGGTCGCCGCCCGCAAAGTCAAAGCCGAACGAATCCATTCAAGATGTAGCTGAAGTAACGCGAGTAGCAGAAGTAGCTCTAGCAAAAAGAGCCGGTCGAGCTACTTGTAGAAGCACCCACAGAGAGACTGACGGTGCCCGAGATACTCTCGAAAGCAGGCAGGCTGACTGACTGACTGACTGGCTGGTTGGCGTGTCTGCAACAAGTACACAAAGAGAGAGAGAGAGAGGCGTGAGGCAAGACGTGAGTGAGTGAGAGAGTGGGGATCACCAGTCGTTAGGACGTGACGGGAGGGAGAGAGCGAGGCGTCGTACCGGACAGAAGCGCGACGCGTGACGTGCTTTCTCCAACCCTCTCGATCTCTCTCTCTCTGTCCCACTCTTACAGGCTCCTGACTCAAACGAGCGCTTCAGTGAAAGTGTCGAGTGAGGGACTGAGTGAGCGAGTGAGCGAGTGGTCGGTCGGTCGGGGAGAAGGAGATGGACGAAAAGACTCGCGGCCTGCGCGTCGTTCTTGGCGCACGTGGTTTTGTCCCTAGACGGCTGAAGCGCCCCGTTCAAAACTGAGGGTAAAAGCTAGAATCCCTCCTCGCGCGCCAAGTCATATTTCGACAAAACAAGTCTAAAACCTCGACGCTTTGAAAAAACCTCAGATTAAAAATGGGTAGGTTCGTGCTGCTCTGGCTTTCTCTCGCGCGCAATTTGGGACCAAGAGTGAATGTACCTGCTGCAGGTGTGTGTGTGTGTGTGAGGGTATGCAAGGACTGCAAGACGTCTGCTTGGTGACGAAAGTGCGACAAGGAAGCGATACGCTTATGTTTGATAGAATGAATTGACTAGAAAGTCTACGCTGCAATGACTGCCGCTGTCTCGAAAAGTGGCAAAGCAGGGCACATGCGACTCAAGATCGCCACCCTTGACAAAACCTCTTTTTGGGTAATGCACCAATCGCAAGGACAACGATTTGGGCACCTTTTTTTGGTGGAGGAGACGCGGTCAATTAACCTAAAAAACGTCGGATTAAAACGGACCTTGAGCGGTGCTCAAAACAACGGACAAAATACATGGCCATGAGCAAGACCCCAGCAGCATCTACACGCAGCAGCTCTCGCACCGTGAAAGAGCGACAACTGGCGCTGATTGACGATCCGAGACAAGATCTGAAGTCTGTAGATGCACACGAGCTTCAGGTAGACGACGATTGGGAGGAACGGCTGAATTTGCAGGTCAAGATCATGTACGTCAAGACTCGTTTTTTTGGCGTTTTTTTGTGTTTTTTTGGCGTTTTTTATGATGTAACTAGTAATGGCTGCAATCTTGTAGGAACGTCGTTTGTACCGTCGATTTGAAGACGCCACTTGATCTCAAAGTTATTGCGCTGCATGCGCGCAATGCCGAGTATAACCCCAAGGTCTGAATGTTTTTCCTGCATTCTCGTGAGACGGAGCGACAAGCGTTCTAAACCAGTCGTTTATGATGAAATTGTAGCGTTTTTCAGCGGTGATTATGAGACTGCGAGACCCAAAGACGACAGCACTGATTTTCGGATCCGGAAAAGTGCGTCTTTGGTGTTTGGAAGCAAAAGTGACTGTTAAAATGTTAATTATCACTGATGAAGCTGACGCTAATTGAATGCAACGTTGGTGTTAGGTTGTTATTACTGGCGGAACGAGTGAAGGGAGCTGTAGACTAGCTGCGCGCAAGTTCACGCGTGTAATACAGGTTTGTACTGCTGTTGTAGTAGCTGGATACGGCGAAATGGCGGTTGATGTTGTGTTTGGAATGACCTTGATGTGCTGTGCCTTTTATGCTGCTTAGAAATTGAGCTTCCCGGCCAAGTTTACCGAATTCAAAGTCCGGAATGTCATGGGTACGTGCGATGTTCGCTTCCCGATTCGGCTGGAAGGACTACTGAACGACCATGCGCGCTTTTCCAGTGTACGCTCTTGCGTTACGAGTTGATGTGAAGGAATTGTCTGTATGGGAGGAATACCACGCTGATGTCGTTGCCACTCGTTTCATGCGTGCAGTACGAGCCTGAGCTATTCCCTGGACTTATCTACAAACTCGTGGAGCCCAAGTTGACGCTACTCATCTTTGTGTCTGGCAAGATCGTGCTCTGCGGTGCACGCGACTCGAATCACCTTCACCAAGCCATCGATAAGATGTACCCCGTGCTGCTGCAGTATCGCAAGATGACCGCACCACCGTCGTTAATGACAGGGAAACGAGGTTACGAGGATACCGATGACCTTGACCGTCTTGAAGCAGGGCAGGCCAATGTCTGAGACTGAAGGAGCAGGAATGGATGTTGTCATTTATCATATGCAAACGTGTAAGCAACCTAAGCAGACTGAGAAAATAGGTGTTTGAGCTCGAACTAGCAACCTGGCCCTTTACCCGGTTGCCAAAAACGTACTCGCTGGTCGACATCTTGTGCTATTTCCGCTTCTTCAGTCCCGGCTGCTGTCTTGATTGACTGCTACCTTCGCAGCCTTCCTTGTGTTTTGCTTGTTTCTTCCTGCTTTCAAGTAGTGGTCCCCGCTGGTTGATGGTATCACCGTCTACTTTGAGTTTTGCATGTTTCATTTGCTTCAGACGGTGTGCCTTCTGGAGATCGTATCCTGATATTGTGTTGATACGGTGCCGCATCGGAGGTGCTTTTAACAGCTCCTTCCTTTTTGACGCACTGGTGTAAAGCAAACGTGAGTCAAGCAACAGATAGCTAATGCATCATCAAAGAAGCTGCTACATACCTGGCTTTCTTTAGTGAGAGCATCCAGTCAGGAACCTCGCAGCCTGAAAGCTTCATCACGTTAGCGATTGTGCGAAGGTGTACCATATCGTCCTCAGTGAAAAACGTAACAGCCATGCCCTTGCGTCCATTCCGACCAGTACGACCGATCCGATGAATGTAGCTCACAGCGCTCTGTCGACGTTCGAACACATTGATTATTGCTATGTCACAAACAACGTATGCAAAACATCATGGTCAAACCTGTGGAAAGTCGTAGTTGATGACCATATTTACAGCCTTGAAGTCCATGCCACGGCTCATCAGATCAGTGCAAATGAGCACCCAGACTTCGCCAGTACGGAAACGCGTGATCACGTCATCACGCTGGTCCTTGGTGCGATCCGCATGAACGGCACCGATATTGACACCGTCATACAACAGCTCGTGGTACAGTTCGTTTGCGCGCTCCTTGTTCTGCACAAATAACAATGCCGGAAGTTGGAGCCCGTCGTGCAACAGCTGCTTAATCGCAACAAGCTTTCCTTCCTCCTTGCCCACAAACACCAGTTTTTGATCAATTGTGCTAGCTCCGGTGTTTTTCATTCCGATTGCCACCTTAACTGGGTCACGCAGCACAGTGTGCGCAAGCTCTTCGACTCCTTCCAGCATCGTAGCACTAAACATGGCTCGCTGGATGTTAGCGTGCGTGCAGGCAGCGAAGATCTCATCGATCTGCTCCACAAAGCCGAGCTCCAAAAGTCGATCAGCTTCGTCCAGACATACCATTTCGACGGTCGAAAGATCGACCTTCGCCTCCTGAATCAAATGCACGAGACGAAGCGGCGTAGCAATCAGCACGTCATGATTGACCGCTAACTTGCTCTTGGTCTGAGAAGCGATAGTGGCAGCAGTGGCTTTCGACAGTAACGTGATGTGCGTCTTTTTGCCTATTGCAAGGCGCGTGAACTCAGCACGAATCTGCACTGCCAAATCACGAGTTGGAGCCAACACTATCGAGCGAATACCGCTGCTTGTTGCGCTGCTGGCGGCCAAGTTTGCCAGAATCGGAATCGCAAAAGCTGCGGTTTTACCAGATCCTGTAGGCGCCGTGACCAGTACATCGTGCCGAAGCAAGAAGCTCGGGATTGCTTGCATTTGCACGGGCGTAGGTTCCTTGTACTCTGACCGCTCGATATTTTGCAATAGCAGACGTTTCATCTGCTGCGCACTCGAGGCCGGGTCCAAGCGCATATCAGCAAAAGAGGTAATCGGGTCTGGCACACTGACGCCGCTCACACGAATACCGAGCTGACGTCGGAGCATTTGCACACCCTCTCTATTGCATCAACAAAAAGTGTTAAGCACGCTTTCAACACCACAAATCGTATACAAAAGCAAGCAGCATATCACATACCGATCAGCAGAATCATCCGTGCTTTTTTGCGCAGCATCCTTCGCTGTCTTCTTTGCTTGCTTTCTATCAGTCATTTCGTCATCACCATTCTTACCACAAGACTTGAATAATCTAACAGCCACTTCCTCCTCCTCATCTTCCTCTTCTTCCACTTCTTGTCCTTCATCCTCACTAGACACAGCAGCGTCTTCATCCGACTGTTCAAAGACTTCTTTACTCCTCATCAGCTCCGTGTTTGACCGGCGACAATGAGCGCTATATTTCTCTGCCTTCAATCCGGATGGAGCAAGAAGTAGCGACGCTTGTCGTCGCGCCTCGTCTTCCATAAGTTGTTCCTCCAGCGCACCTTCACTCAGTTTACGCTTCCTTCGAGGTTTACTTCCCTTGACCTTGCGTACTTTATTGACCGGCTTTGGTACGATACTTTCGACGCTCATTTCGCAACGCTCATGTACCTTTTCCTTGGGCTTCTGAGTCGAGTTGAAACCGAAGAAGTCGAGCTCATCCACTTCCGCAGTCTGCTTGGACTCATTCTTGGCTCCTAGAGTATACGACATCATGCAGACAAGATCCAGCGGCCGATTAGACTAGCCGCTTACTAGTAGAGAAAACGACACTTGGAATGAACAACGACCGCACCATTTACGAGTGTATTGAACTGCTTCTTTTCTTTGATGAACGCGACGCCGCTAAACTTGGCGCCTTGTGTGAGCGCTCCAAAGAAGCTGCTGGGCATCGCCGCCGTCGTCGTTGTCGTGCACACTTTGCGTCCAGCCAAAAAGACGTGATGCATTTAGTCCAATCAGAGATCGTTGTTTTACATACGAATGGGTTGACAAGTTATTCGGGGACGCACCCGGGGACGAAGGGTCCATAGTGTTGACCTTCAGTTCATTTCAATCAGGAACTTGTTGTTGAGGTCCTTGAGACTCCACTCGAAGCCAACGCCGGACCAGCGGGTTCCAACGTCGACCTGGAGTCCGACCAATGTCCGTTTGGACCGAGATTGACGGTGATCTTGGTGCAGTGCTCGTTCAAGGCTTCGGCATCAACATACTCGTACTGAAGACTGTTCAGTCCGTTCCTTTTCCATGTCCGATGGTGCTCCTTCAGGAGCTCGCGCTTTACTCTGCACTTCCACTTGTTCGTACGAAGCACCGCAAGTTTCTCTTCGAGGTTCATCTCTTCCAGATCTCGAACTGCCCCACTATGACAAGGCAAGTGCAAGAGAATAAGCAGAGACACAGTCAAATAGTAACCGTGAAGCAAGAATCGCTGGCTGACCTTGTAGGCGTTTGGACCGTGAAGTGCCTGCGCACCACGCGACAATAAAGTTCGTCGTCTTCTCCACCCCATCCCCAAAAGGTATTGGGAAATCCATTCACTTGCGTGAACTGCTCCCGCGTGAATACGACGATACCCCCAAAGTAGTTTGGGCTCTCGCTGTAGCGGTCCCACACCCGCGCAATGTGCACAGGTCCAGCATGCGGTGCAGTCGTGTACCACTCTTTCAGATCGTCCTAAGCAGTCAGGAAGCACAATCATACGTACTGTCAGCAGCGCTACCCTCCGAAAAGGAGTCCTTTCGTGGCTTACGTACTGCAGGTAGCAAGTCCACGTCGTGGAAAATGTAAACGTCGTAGTCGTTGCAAGCCATGTCGAACCCTGCATTGAGCAGCTTGCCGCGATTGAACTTGCAGCCATCCAGGGACTGCTCGAGGATAAAAATGTGGAAAGTGGCACTACGTAGACAGTAAGCCATACAGCAAGAGAGCTTCATACGGTCAGGAAGAGCAAAGACTGCAAACACAACGTGTTGATCACTATTACTCGAGTATCTCCTACCTCGCTGCACCACAGTGGCGGCGCAAAAAGTCCGTCATGTACGGCACGAATTCGTATAGATGGGCGCGTCGCTGTTGCGCAGGATGCATGTCGCGAAACGGAACGAGGACCGCTATACGCGTCGAGTCTTGCATGACAGCAGCAGTGGGGGCGACGACAGTCCCGGTTTGATTCAAGCTCGAGGACAACGTACGCGGCGAGACGGAGGGTTCATCGGTACCTGCTAGACAGGCGGTGTCGATCCTACATGACCGCCTTTTCTTACTGCTGCTGCTGCTGGGTGCACGGACTTGAATCGATGCGATCGATCGCTTGGTCGCCATGTGCAATGGAGAAAAATATGGTAGATGTCCTCACTGGGGAGGACAGAGCTTAGACTTTCCAAATACTGGATGCACATTCGTGCAATCCCGTCCTTGTCGAGGGAGATGCTAACCTTCTCTCGGCTCCACGAACACATCCTGGATGGTGAAAATACACATATATAAATACTACATTAGACAGACATCGAAAACCACGTTGCAATGCGATAGGCATGTTTGTATGCTGAACTTGCACACACTTTCGTCACCTCTATCAATATATACCTTCTCACATTACATTCTCAGTGCGAAGCCATGTTTGACCACTTCGCAGACGGTGCGTGAATACACTGCAGGTTTGCATCCGACGACCTCTTGTTTTGGTCGACCGAAAATGCATTGTCCATACGTCAACCGTCGAAAAGCGCATCACTATCAGGAGGCTTGACACGGCGAAGGTTTGGTGAGTGCCCACATCACTGGTTGGACGAAGCGTCTACATAAGAACGTAAGATTCGCCAACGTGTCCACATTCGCTTGACAATTCGAGTTGGTAGCCTCGACAGCGGCTTCATTATGACTTTAAATTTGATGCAATCGGCTGACAATCGTAACCGGCCTTATAGTAAACTAGTCGCAAGCAACCGCAGCGCCCCAGTTTTTGTCAGCAAGCGAGTCTAATGCTGTTGTCGAGAATATGTGTTATATTCACGATCGCTGCATCTCTTAGATGCGGCCATACTTTTGAGCTTGAAAAATAGTAGCTACCACCCCTGAGTAAATTGATGACACCTTGAGTGAGTAACAGACTTATTGCATCAAGTCAGCGCATGAGAACAAACCTTCTAAAAGCTTACAGCCGCGCTCTTATACTTGCAGAATATTGGCATTAGCAAGTCCAAGAATGTGAGTAGTTGTTGCCGGACAAATGTCCCATTACCAGCGACTCAGCGTGTGTCGAGTCGCTTAAATGCCGGGCGTCGGCGTCACATGACAGCCGACCATTTTTATTCTGATTGCTCTTCCCGAACTTACAATTGAAGCTCGTAGCTTCCCCGCCATCTTCTAAAATGTACGCCGTTTTGTCTGAAAGGGCTTGAGCGCTTTGGTATGACTGGAGATGAGCCTGAGGCTGGTCGCTGACGTATCGCATGGCCGCAAACTTGAACGGCGCAGATGTGCGTTCCCATTGAAGGACAAGCATACTTTAACTTTGAATGGAGTTTATGATGATGATTATTAGTGTTAGTAAACCATGTCAGACACAAGTTGAGCAGAGAACAAAGATACCAACACGTCGGTCTCCGCCCTCAATGTGTCGGCCAGCCTCTTCTTGCTGCCCTCTTCCTCTCCGCTCGACTACTGGATAAGAAACGCACACCTAGAACTTAGCTATCCAACTACACATTTTGCCCTTCCTTTCTCTCATCTACCCCACTTCGAGGCTTGAAAACGTCTTTCGATCACGGTGGACACTACTGTCGACTCGACCACTTTCCAGTGGGTAAGAACGACGGCAACTGCCTTTTTGTTCAGTCCGCCCGACGCAAATTTCTAATCATCGAGAAAGCAGAAGATCACCTTTCGGTGCCTCCACGGAACCGCCCCACTCACATGCAAATATAAAACACGTAGTCATCTCACGTACTCATGCTCGACAGCAGTATGACAGAGGAAGAGCACAGCTTGGATACTTGAATGAAGATCTCCAATAAAAAGAATGGCTCTACACCTCGGGCGGAGACCTACAAGACATAACATGAACCAAACACATTGTAGAGTTAGACAGTGTAAATCATGTGGCTAGTTCCTATGAACATCTACTTCTTCTCCTTCTTGGGCACACGGTACGAGCCAACAACCACAGCGTGGTCACGCTCATACGGCTCCAGCGTGAGCTGTTCCGCGGGCTTGAATTGCTCCTGCTGTAGCTTCTTGACCTCACGGGCAAACACGGCCTCAGGAGGGGCCGTCGAGTCAATGCAGCTAGCCTTGATAGAGATCACAAAGTGACCGCCGTTCTTCAAAAAGTGCGAAGCGTTGATTGCAACAATACGCGCCTGATCAGGTTGGGCGACATCAGCAAAAATTACGTCGACCATCGGCACGAGCATACGATACTTGAGCGGGTGACGAGCATCTTCAATGATCGGCACTACATTCGTGCGGGACTTGGCCATATTGATTAGGTCACGGCCAACACGGTGCGAGAACTCAACAGCGTAGACAGCGCCAGAAGGTCCGACAATGTCAGAAACGTGCGACACTGTAGTACCAGAAGCACCGCCAAGGTACAGCACCTTGGCACCCGGAACGATCCAGATATTGTCCACACCACCCAAAATGGCAGCAGCAACCTTGGACCGGAACGGGTTCCACACGCGATACTCGACCTTTTCAGTCCCTTCGCCCGAGGCAGCTGGCACATCCACCGAGATGCGCTTTTCGCCGTAGACAGACTTGCCAGGTGTCGAGTTCAGTGTCACCAAAGCGTCTTCCTTGCCACGGGCAATAAAGATACCGGCATGACGATGAGGCTCCACAACGACTTTCGAGCCACCAGCCATACCGCCGCGGCCCCCACCACGACCGCCGCCACGGCCGCCACGACCTCCTCGATCACCGCCACGACCGCCCCGATCACCTCCACGACCACCACCGCGGCCGCCTCCAAACCCACGACCACCTCCGCGACCACCTCCACGACCGCCGCCACCACCACGACCTCCACTGAAGCCACGACCTCCTCCTCGGCCGCCGCCACGACCACCGAAACCACGTCCAGACATTGCTTGTTGTTGACGAAGAAGAGAGATAGGAGGGGTTGGGTGCAAGTCAGAAATTGATTCCCGGGGAGCTCAAGTAAGCGGTCAAATGAATGGACGTGTCTGACGAGTCGCTGCCAGCCAACCAACGTTGGTACAGGTGATGGGCATAGTTTGAGCCAATCCGGAACGTTACACGAATTGAGGTGCCAGTCTAGCCTTTTATTAAGGAGACCGACGATAGGAGAAGCACTGTACCAGGTGTTGAAGAGACGCCAACCGAGATGATAGACAGTTTTGCGGAGCAATTTTGCTGCGGCTATCAAGGACTAACGTTTTCTAGTGTCATCACTGGGTCATGACTGGGTCATGCATATACGAATAAAGTGACTGGCCTGATACTGCATATGCAGTGTTTATAAGCCTATACATGTTGCGGGTTCCTTGGGCAACTACGAAACCGCCGTGTATACAATACCAGCGGTGATCACGAAACACTTTACGGGTCCCCAACGACAATCTCCAGTCGCGCTGACGCCGTCTATTTTAATCTGCATAGAGGCAGGCTGAGCGTGCTGACAAGAATGTACGAGGGCTTGTCTTTTGCCTTAAATACACAACTTGGTAGCTACGGTAGAAGTGAATGCGGATGGAGCATTTGCCCCTTCGAGTATAGTTGTGGGGGCAGACTACAGAGAGGGATTACATCTTTCTGCAAACCATAATGGCATGTGCTTGCGTTCACATGGTTACTGGTTCAGTACAAGGTATATTGCTTCGATAGCGTGATATTGTCGTCTAAAAGCGATCTACATGTATGCACTGCAACTCACAGCGTGTTGTATCGCATGCGCATATAAACGAACACCTTAAGTGTATCATCGAGATGCCCGTCAGAAAGGATCGACATAGTTGATGATGGTGCCTGCACTCTTTTCGTTCGAGCGTTCGTATACGGCAGTCAATGGCAGAGTAGGTTGACACAGTAGATTCTTCCCATACATTCCAGATCCAACGACTCTCAGCGCTTAATGAGGTCAGTATATGTCTGTACGCGGGTTGATCGCTTGTGCCGAGGATTTAGACTCGTAAATAAATAGTGCCCTTGCACCCTTTATGCCTTGCCGCTGCCTCGGCCGCTCAGTCGTTGCGAGTACGGCAAGCGAAGTCGATTGTGTTGAGGTGGCAAAATCGAAGTGGTATTCTTCCTCAAGTTAAAGCGGCAAGATCAAGACGACTGCAGGGTCTACAGCGAGTTTGAACGTTAGGCTCAGTCTTTCTTCGCATTTCCATACCTACTACCAAGTTCGTGCCATTAGTGAGGGCGAGCACCAGCGCACACTTGTTATCGACCTGAATAATGATGAAGCCATATCATTGCGCTTGCTAATACAAATCGGCTTTGGGACGGCAGTACCTGGGTCAATTGTGTCATTGGAGCTGTCTGCGATGTGTACCGGAGATTTCACAAACCGTACTTCGAATTGCCTGACAGTACACTTTGAGTCAACGTGGAGACACGGGTATGTTTCGGCACTCCACTCTACGCTGATTTAGTTGCTGGGATGTGCATGTGTATCCAGATTCCGTCTAGCTAGTGTGATCCTGCAGGAATTTTCTTGTGATACCTAGATACACGGTATTTCGACCGCTTCAGCTTTTTGTTGGGTATTAAAATTCGAAGGCCTACATGACTCAAGAAGAATTATCGTCGCGAGGAGATCTATCAGATGCATCGGCTGACAGTGCATGTCTATGGTGAAACGCTTACCGACTGGTTTGTGATGAAAGGATCTCTAAGGTGAAGTTTAAAGACTATTGCCGCTGTGATTAGGTGCAGGTTGGATGCTCTTGATATTGCTACTTCTCACTATTTGAGTATCGTGCATCACAAATTTGACGAACGGATACGATCGTAACGAAGATGGCGACTATGCTAGCTCAACAACCATTATCAGCCGATGCCAAATCCGACGTCCCTCGCTCAATGTTGTAGCCGCAACACGTGATTTTGAAGGCAAGCGCGATAGCATAATCACTGGTCCCGGAACGGAGTTTCAGCACTTTTTCAAACAAGGCCTTTGTATGACGTTAGCTGCTTGACGCATCTTGCAGTTGACATTTATCGTACTTGCTCTTAGGGTGTTTTTTGCTTTTATTTCAATTTCCCGGTAACTGTTCGAATTATTTTCTTCGAGAAGTGCATGTTTTAAAAAAAGGCGAAAACAAAATTTATCGGAATTGTCAAATGACTCAATAAAGTTGCCACGAAAAGTATACCTCTAGTTTATGTAATTTATGCAGAGGACGAAAAGGTGATATATGACAAATCGAGAAGCTACGTACATCCTCCCTTTCATCGGCTCCGCCCCCTCTGATACTGGTCCCAATTTAAGCAGCAGACTACCTCGTGAGACATTCACTCTTATATTAGGGAGCTGGAGCTTGCCCTTTGATAAAAGTAAACCAGCTTATAGAACTTAATCAAGTTGCAAACACTACACAGCAGTAGCAGTCACTGGATAAGGAGTACGAAGCTGTCAATTTATGTACTAACACAGTACAGCATACTTTGGCAACGCGATTGGCCTGAGCTTATAATCGTCCAGCATTTGCTGATGTGATCATATTCAGCTTTGATTGATTTTAAGCCAATCAGGTGCGTGCATCACAATACTTACCGATTCAAAGAGTATGCCTATATACCTATAGGGGGTGCAGGCCAGTTCGCACTTGGTACGTGCAAAGTACACCTGGCCGCGTTATTTACAGACACACAAATAGTTTGAATTCAAAAAATCTCGGCATTCACTTTGCGCTCAGCCACTATTAGCTTTACCCTTCAGGATTGCAACAACATGTATGCTGGGGCGTGGTACCACGTCAACCAGATCGAATGCCTTGTGTGCATTGTCATTACCACTTGAACTACACAATTACAGCTTGTTAACCTTGGAGGTACATCTCAACAGCACCGACTAACCCAAACAATGTCGCCATCAGCACTGGGAAAGCCATTTCGAATCGATAACATAAGAGTCAAACAGGTGGAAAGGATTCATGATAGTCTGTTAAATGGTTAAGAAAGCTAAAGTTACGAAAGCGTACAAGTAGGAAACACATTCCTAGCCCACAGCTAAGCACCTGCAGCAGCAGCACTGTAGTACCCACAACATCACTTACCAGTTGTAATTCTAACAGCGCTAACAGCAGTAGTATTTGTTGCTGTAACGGGATTACACAAACGTTTGTGATCGCCATGTTCGCTGGTGTGATACCCGCATGAAGAGATCAGTAAAATTGACAGGTGCTATATCGTACCACATACGCTGGAGGTATAACTGTACCTTATTGATTACAGATAGATGTTATCTATCGTAAAATATATTCTGTAAAGTACGTCGAGGTATAGTGTGGTATCAACAGAAGAACCCAATTTAGGGCTCCTAAATTAAGTTGCAGAGTTTCACGGTTACATACGTAAGTGGTTTTTTTATTGTCGCTGTGATACAGTAAAAAAGCTCAGTTTTCCCTTTCATCAATCTAAGACACTTGTCCTGTTTGATTTTAGAAGCATGTATCAAGGCTAGTACTCTTGAGCATTAGTGCCGCGTGATTCTCTTGTAGTCTTAATTACTCTGAACCAGGACTAGAAGCTTGCAGCTTGTTAAGATACTTTAGGTTAGGTCTCACTAAGTCTGCAAAGATTTGAGACCTCTTAGTCATGATTCGATTACTTTAATACACCAGAGACTCCACGAGTATACAAATCTTCCTTTAAATCAGGAGTTAGGGTAGATCCGCTACAGTAGCAGCAGTATTCAAAGCAACGAGAGCATCTTTAAATATCTACAATAATAACAACAACGGCTACAGCTGCAGCGGTCGCCGCAACGACGGCATCAACAACTACGACACTAGCACTAACACAGCAGCAGCTGAAGAAAAACACATTGATTAAAAATATGACATTATGACAAATAGTAACAATAACAATTACGATCGCAAAAACAGTACAATTGATAACAAGAATATCACCACCAGGTATCGAAATTTACGGCCGCGGATGACGATATAAAGTCGCCTCCACATTAATAGTGTGACTTCTTTGACCGCAACTGGTGGCTGAGAACGTTGCGCGCCCACGACGGATTTCCCTCCGCGGCTCCGCCTATTGGGTGGGGGTTAAGCACGGGTGTACGGCGGTGTGGTCCTTTTTAATTTTCCGTTTATCTAGGACTTTTTAAGTGATTATATGGAGCATCCTTGCAATTGTCTCTTACTTTTATCCAGGAAGATGCTATATTCGCTCCCTTTTTGGTTAGATTCGGTCGTTTTTTTATTCACTAAGTAAACACATAAATTAGCCAATTTTCAAATGGTCAATGTAAGTGTAAAATTTACCCATTTAGCGATTCGTATATACAGTACCATTCCGCTATTACGACAAACTACATTAGTGCATGCACCTCAAGACCGCAACCGGTTATGTCAGTTGTTCGCAAGTTTCTCATCTCTGAACCTTATATGAGGACTCTTTGGCTAGCGAAATTCAATTATTTTGCTCTTGCGCTATTTGTGACACAAAAATAGCTATTGCTCTGAACGAAGCATCTCAACTTACTGAGAGTGTTGGGTAGATATTACAGCGACTCTCAGTTTTTTTTTAGGTCTGCCTATGGCACAACAATTTAAAACATGACGTGACTTAATTGCGAGCGGAATTCACTTCACGTAAACGCGCATATCTATCGCTTTAGATACTTAAATGTGTCGATTAGAAGAATAGCAACGTGTAGTATCGCGTGGTGTTTATGATAATAGGAAATCATAATAATAGCTACGGGATACTACACTTTGTTATGATTCGGCACGGCTCCATTTTCTTCGTAATGTGACATCTATATCGCTATTTCTGCTGATTTGTAAATGTGCCTAAAAACCGTTCATTGTCTTCAAAGCAAATATTTCTATCTTTTTCAGCTTCTGCTTTCCCCTTAAACTGCTCCGTACTTTTTCAAAAT